CCTTCCCAGATCACCAGTCACCCCACAAGGTAAGCAACTCAGTTCATCTCAGTATTCATACTTCACTGGTTTTGGGGATTTCATCGGAGCGGTGCTTTCCCTCCTGAATGATTATCTTGCAAACCGGGGCCTAATCGCCAAACACCATTACATTCTCCTGTTGTATTATCATGGCAATCATTTCATTCATATGACGTGTAAACAATTAATATGTAATTCTTACATCACGTCTCTCCGGTTTGAAATGAAAGCTTTAGCGCAAGTTCAATAAGGAAGACCTAACACGAGTCTCTTACACGTCACTCTATGGCTCCCTTCCCCCCTCATTAAATATGAGGGCGTCACCCCTCAGCAGCCAATAGCTGCACATGCTAAATGCCTTAAATGCCTGCTCTTCCTCCCTGTCAGTTGTCATTTGCAGATGACCGCAACCCGCCTCTCTCGCCTCCAGTCTCCTCCAGGACAAAGCTAAACCTTCCTTCTTCAGACCGGTCTCACCTACTCAGCACCACCACCAGTGTCTAGACCCCGGGGATTTCATCGGAGCGGTGCTTTCCCTCCTGAATGATTATCCTGCAAACCGGGGCCTAATCGCCAAACACCATTACATTCTCCTGTTGTATTATCATGGCAATCATTTCATTCATATGACGTGTAAACAATTAATATGTAATTCTTACATCACGTCTCTCCGGTTTGAAATGAAAGCTTTAGCGCAAGTTCAATAAGGAAGACCTAACACGAGTCTCTTACACGTCACTCTATGGCTCCCTTCCCCCCTCATTAAATATGAGGGCGTCACCCCTCAGCAGCCAATAGCTGCACATGCTAAATGCCTTAAATGCCTGCTCTTCCTCCCTGTCAGTTGTCATTTGCAGATGACCGCAACCCGCCTCTCTCGCCTCCAGTCTCCTCCAGGACAAAGCTAAACCTTCCTTCTTCAGACCGGTCTCACCTACTCAGCACCACCACCAGTGTCTAGACCCCGGGGATTTCATCGGAGCGGTGCTTTCCCTCCTGAATGATTATCCTGCAAACCGGGGCCTAATCGCCAAACACCATTACATTCTCCTGTTGTATTATCATGGCAATCATTTCATTCATATGACGTGTAAACAATAAATATGTAATTCTTACATCACGTCTCTCCGGTTTGAAATGTTGTTAGATTTAATAATAATAATAATAATAACTTGGATTTATATAGCGCCTTTCATGAGACCCAAGGTCGCTTTAGAAAGAAGAACAGGAGTAGAAACAAACATAACAAAAACAAAAGGCAGTCAGACAAACAGTCAGACAGACAAAACAACAAATAAATTAGGGGCCAAAGGCCTTGGCAAACAGATGGGACTTGAGGGCCCTTTTGAAGGCGTCAAGCGTGGGGATGTTGCGGATCTCCGCAGGGAGAGAGTTCCAGAGGGTGGGGGCTGCCACACTGAAGGCTCTGTCCCCGAAGGTTCGGGGGGTGGTAAGCAGGCCAGAGTCTGAAGACCGCAGGTTCCAGGGTGAGGCATGTGGGAAGAACCAACACATTCTCACTCCCAACTCGGCCTATGTTGACGTTATGTCAGGGTCCCTGTCGTCACTTTCCAACGCAAGGGGGTCCATAGACTTCTATAGAGCTCCCTGAACGTATGTAGTAGACGAGTTGGGATCGCGGAGAAATGCTCTGGGGGGGCGCGCTCATGTGATTGGCTTAGAATTGAGGAGACATCTGATTGGCTATAGATAGAAATAATTACAAGTACGAATCGGCTGACCGTCAGGGGAGTCTCAAAAAACCCACACACGAATGCACAGCGATCCGTGCACAGAAAGCTGTTTGTGTTTGCAGGTTCAGAGGTTTTAAACGGAAAACAAATATGTGAGGATCAAAAATACACATGTCAAACTTTTTTCTGTATTTGGATTTTATTTACATGTATATGAAACGGAATACATTTGTGTGTGCATTGAAAAACACAAGTGTGGATCCGGAAATACAAGTTTGAATCCTTTTGCGGATCATGAAATCCTTCTGTGCGCATGTGTGTATTATGAGACTGTTCTGAGCCCATAGTCCTTATCTCCAAGACACATTTAAAACAAATAACCTTGAACCTTGAAGCCCCATCTCTCCCCACCTGCTCCTGCTTCCTACTGTACATCCCCTCCACACCACACCAAGTTGTTCTTCTTAATAATAATAATACATTTATTTTGGGGGGCCGCCTATCATAACACCCAAGGACACCTTATAGGGGCAATATAGGGAACAATTTAAACAGTGGATTTTGTGATATATCAGCTGGGGTGAGACAAGACAAACCACAAATGGACTACAGAAGGACACAAAAGGACACATGGTACAGTTTATATTATTCTTGGTCTTTTTTCAATAACATATTTCAAAGGTTCTGGATTTGTTTACAAATCTAGAAACTAAATACAAAACTAGGATGATATGAAGATCTCATGTCAAAAATAATTGTGATAAATTAGACAGAACTGGCCTGTCTGTGAGCACATTTTATGTTGGTTTGGTTCTTCTGATAAAGGTGTGAATATCTAAATAATATACCAACATATGCTATTGTCATTAGTTGTGTCCCTGTTCTTCAAGCTAAGGCATTGCTAAATTAACAACTCTTGTTTTACATGACATAAAATATAAATGTATTTTAATTGTATTATTTATTTATAATTTATTTTAAATATTAACAATATAATAAAATAAATGGAAATATATACACCGGCAACTATTTAATATAAATACCTTGTGTGTATGTGTATAGCTATTGCTTTATCTGATTAATGTTATTTTCATATGAAAGTCCATGATTATAAGTATGCAGTATCATAACTACATCTTTGATGTTTATAAGAAACCAAACCGTTTGAAAATTGAGCAAGCTATGGTTATTTAAATAGTAAACCATAATGTTATGAATGAGAGAACTGCCTGTGGCAAGATGGCGGCCAAGTGGCAACGTCGGTCTCCATTGGCCAGCAGCGCGGGTGAGTCATCTAGTGTTTATATATATATATATATATATATGGCGCCAGGACTCAGATGATTTGAGGCCAAATATCATATTTAGACTTTTTTTTATTTTTTTTTAAACTTTATTTTTTTCTACATATAATTGTAAGGCAATACATGATAGTCACTAAAAGCCTTGTCTCTACATTACAATAACTTATACAAAATAATTGACTAATTAATTTTAATACAAATTCAAGTTAGTATTAAAGGCATAAAAAGACAGAAATGTATAATTCTTTCTTTAATATAAATGTTTCTTCTGCCCATAAAGTGTCCAAACCAGGCTTGTCTGGATAAGCGCATTTTTAAAACATAGTCATTGTCCATGCCGGTTTCAGTTGGATTATTTGTCACAGTGCTCCAATCAGATCGGTCTCCTCCATTTTGTAGATTATTTACGACTTTTTAATCCACATAAACACATCGGCAAAATCCGGCTTACTTTGAACATGTGTTTTAAACAGTTTAATCCCTTTGTGAATTGTTTCCACTTGCGCCGTCCTTTAATTTCTTCATACAGCGGGAATCCAAATAAATGAATCCTGAGTCCAATAACCATCACTCCAATAGTGCTCCTTAATTACGCTTTCCAGTTTGTGACAGTAGTTGTAGCATTTTTGAGACTTTTAAACTTTAATTACCGCTGTTGCGCCCCCCCCTTGTGTGTGTGGGGGGGGAGGGCGCAACTTCCAACAGGAGTCATTTGGGGGGGCTCTTGGGAAAAAAGGTTGGGAACCACTGGGCTAAGCTAACGTTGCTCCGACCATCCACACTCAAAACAACGGCCTATACAGACATAAATAAACCAGCGACTGTATTCGCCATGACACAGGCAGTCTGTGGTTTGTACTTGTTTAACTTTTGTCTAGTTTCTGAACAGATATGAGGAGCTGTGAGCTTGAGTGCTAACAGCTAACGGCTGATGTTGTTTTTCTGTGGTTCGCGTTGAAGATGACGTCACGGCTCCGCCTACATTGCGTTACTATAGTTACTGCCCCAGCTACTAAACTGTAATGGAAACGCAGCATAAAGTGAGCCAGTCCTAACAAGGCCTAACGAGGCCTCGCCATACCGAGCGAGGCCCTGTAGTGGAAATGTGCCATAAAGGGCCCCCCACTGCGTTTGATAGTGACGCAAAGGGATCCTGACATAACGTCAACATAGGCCGAGTTGGGAGTGAGAATGTGTTGGAAGAACAGCGAGCCAGCTTGCTGCTAGCACCATTAGCCTGCATGGTAGAATTTATAACATTTAAAGTTAGTGCTGAACCAATGGACAATACAGTATCTAACCTATATTTATGTTCTAACCTATATTTATGTTCTTCCCATCAAGATAATGATCATCTCATCTGAAACAATGGAAAGAAATACACACAAACAAACACACACATCCCCGAGGATAATATTCTCAAATATCCTAATCATTAACCTCCTGACCAAATAGTCTACAGCAGTGGTTCCCAAAGGGTGTGCCGCGGCACACTGGTGTGCCGTGAGGCAAGTTCGGGTGTGCCGTGGGATTTTGTGACAACCATACGTTATCATTGCAATATACAACTACACAAAAATAATTACTTTTTAATTTACTATATCCAGAGCTGCCAAGTCTCACCCTTTGAGAGTGAGAGTCACGCAATTTAACCTCTTCACACGCCTCACGCCACACTTGCCATTTCACACGCTTTTTTCCCCCTCTCACTACTTTATAATTATTTTTGTATTTAATGATATATTTCCATAACTTGTTGCTCGAGGCTTGCCGTAGTTCGAATCAGGGACAGGGTGAGTCCGCCCTATTCTGCCCCCGATTGGCTGACCGAGATATGTGATAACCAATCATCAGCCCTCGAGGCTAAATCTAACCAACCCAACGAAAGGCACCACGTATACAAACCAATCAGAGGCAGCTTAGGGCGGGTCATTGCGTCTCTATCCTATGAAGAACAACCTAACTCTATGGCGGAGAAATAGAAAAGTAAACGTGAAACGTCTGTGTCAGCGCCTCAATAATGCCGTGACTGACATTTTCATCTGAAGCGGGAGGTCAAACGGTAGGTAACCACATTATTTTTTACAAATATTTTTATTTTGATGAAGTCAACGGTGGGTCTGACTACGTGAGACTTAACGTTACACAGGCTGCTGGTGAGCAGTGTGGCAGGTTGCTGCGGTGGGTTTAACAACAACCGTGACTAATAGCAGTGTTAGTTAAATCATCACGTATTTGCGTGTGTGAGCTAATGGATACTTACTATGAGCTAAGGGAATTTACAGTACTGTACCTGTGCTGTTTGCATTTCTGTTTAATAAAATATTCAATCAATCAAACAGTTACATGTAGCTATATTTTGATCCAGAGGATCTGACTGTGGATGTGGGATACTGGTTTAAAGGAAGCACCAATACAGTATGCTAGTAATAATGTACTATGTTTGTTCCCTTTTTCATTAGCACTCTACTTCTAGGTTAAATGTAATTTTGAAAATCTTTTCTGAAATACAAATTTGTAGATACGGAGTTTCATCCGCAAGTTGCTCTCGAAGTTTCTGAAGCCAGCAGCACTGCAGCACCGGGAATTGCATGAAATCCTCTATAAGGACCCATCAAACCAACTGCCATAGGTAATCCTCCAAGTTTCACATCAGCACATACACACATACACATACACTATCCACTCACTGATCTCACTCACATAATACTGTTTGTTAGAGGGCTGCTTGTGCAGACAAGTTATGCGTTTGATAATCTCATCTCATCACACACATAGGACCACAATGGAAACAAGTCCACAGGACTTTTTTATGTTATCCTTTTAGCCCAAATGTGTGACTGTACCTTGTGCTGTTTGCATTTCTGTCTAATAAAGTATTCAATCACTGATGTGATGAAGATACTTAAAGGGGTGCTTTCAAGTTAGCTATTGTGGTTGTTGATGATTGCTAAAGGGACTCAACACCGGTCTTATTCCCAGTCTCATACTGACATGTTGGTGTTGGGAATGAGAACATATTGCATCTTAATGACCTCTGTGATGTTGTTGATTTATTGTGTCTCTCGTAGGAGAAAAGCTGGTGATCGGCTTCACTACTCGAGCTACACTCAACAGGCTCCTTGATGCAGGATACATTACACTGCAGCAAGTGCAGAGGTTCCAGCAGGCAGCAGTGGCGTTTCTTGTGAGGGCTGTGGGTATGCCATGAAGAAACTCCCCATGAGAGAGCCCCAGATAAAACATGCCATGTTTCTGGATGTGCAGCAGAGGGTAGAGTGTGGAGTGGAAGACGCCTTGTACTTTGTCGACAGGTTAGTTGGGGTATCAAGTCAAGTACATTTATCTATAGTGCCAAATCACAACACAAGTTATCTCAATATACTTAATAAGTAGAGCAGGTTAAAGACTCTTGGCTCTTGTCACATTTTCTTAACATTTTCTTAATAGATTGTAAAGTGTAATGACCACATCTGAAAAACAACCCGTTTCAGCTACATTACTTGACCAGATCAGTGCACATTGTGTTCTTTTTAGGTTTCCTGAACTTCTCCCATACAACGGACCTGACGAGCGTGACAAACTGAGTGAGGAGTTTTTGGACTACCAGTCCATGGACATTGCCATGCCCGAAGACCCAGCCACGTTCGACATTGAGAGCTTTTGGGGGAACTTGGCATCAATGAAGAATAAGGTAAGAATTATTCTGCACCCTTTGAAATACCCATTGACGTAATCAACTTAATTCTATACAAAAATACTTGAGAGTAATTAGGCTTCCTACATTTTTCAAAGGTGACCGGTATGAGCAGATTTGGGAGGCTCTCCCGTATTGGCAAGTTGGTGTTGGTACTTCCACATTCAAATGCTGATGCTGAACGAGTGTTCTCTGTGGTGGGACTGAACAAAACCCGAAAAACTGTTTGGCTCTTGATGGAACTCTATCATCCATCATGACTGTGAAGATGGCAAACCTTGAGCCACAGTGTTTCAAATGGGAGCCCCCTCCCTCTGTCATCAAGGCATCAACATCTGCCACAAACACCTACAACATGAGACATGTCATGTAAACCAAAACACACAAACAAAGACATGCACTTTATTTATTTATTTATAATATATATATATATATTATTCTGGTTCTAATTTTGTTACTCTTAAAAAAAAAATGCACTAAAGGAAAAGGCTGCTATTGGTTCTTAAAAGGCTGCTATTGTTTCTTAAAAGGCTGCTATGTTTTCTTTATATTGACATTTTATAAATAAATGTATTTTATTTGTCAAACTTTTATTTGTTACAATTGTTTTCATTTCTACTTGTGCTGGTCAATTATTAACACTATATAAGCATGAGGAGGCCGACAGTGCAGGGAGAGCAGCTGGCATGGGGGTGAAGACATCACAACAGTCTTAATGTTCATTTAAATTGAGATATTCCTCTAAATCGACGTTAAAAAAGGCACAAAAAAAAATCAAAACGCATCTTCCCCCGAAAGTCTCACTCCTACTTTTTACTGAAACTTGGCAGCCCTGCTATATCAGTACTTTGTAGGTTTATATGTACGTAATCTGCGCGACTTGTGCGTCCACATCTCCACGTGCAGTGCTGCATAAATAAACATGGCTGAGTCAGCGATAACTTTCGAGGGGTGGAGGTATGCCCATTATTTTGAGTTCGTCCGAAGAATAGACAAGAATGTGACGGTGAGGTGCAAACTGTGTCCAGGCCAGAAGCTGTTATCCACTGCTGTAAACACCACGTCAAACCTCAACAAACACCTGCAAAGAACACATGCTAAGGTGAAGCTACCGCACACGCTATTTGTTGTTTGTTTATATCACGTAGTCTGTTCTTCTTCTCTGTCTTCCGGTTGTTGTCTGTTTTGAATGACAAATACACACTACCACCGCCTGCTGGTAAGGAAAGTTATTGCCACTCACGCATGTGCTCGGCGAGTAAAGTAACGAGTTACTTTATGTAGATAGTAACGAAGTAGTGTAATATATCGGCAAAATATTTACAATAGCACATGTTTCAATGCTGATTGCTGAAATGTTACATTTATAATTTGTAGTTCAGGACCATGGACAATGCAGCTTCCTTGCATTGACAGTTCTCTGTGCTGAATTTCTGCTGAGTTTCCTTTGCCTCATTTTTAATGTTGTGACCTGTCTGGTTTAAATGAGTGTGTTGCTGCTTTGATGAAACCTAATTTGATAAAGTTTCAAATTAATTTCTGAAATATTTCGTTAATAAATATTTCATGAGTAATATAGTTGTCTTTGTCACATTTTATTTAGCATTAGTAAATAATGATGCACATTTACAGATATTTTTACATGATACGAGTGATAACACGTGTTATAAGGGCTATTTTGCACAATAGGTGTGCCTTGAGATTTTTACTTGTCCTTTGGTGTGCCTTGGGCACAACAAGTTTGGGAACCACTGGTCTACAGTATCTATCCATGCTGCCCTCTCCCTTAAATAATAATCATAATTATCACTCACTTTGCCTCATATTTGACTGAAAGCTAAACCCACAATGGCTCTAACGAATATAGTTGTGTCTTCTTTGTAGAAAGCTCATAATGGTAGATTTCAAATAATTGCATAAACTTACCATACTCCAAGGACATCTCTCCATTTAAGGTTCAAGGTTCTTTATTTGTCACATGACATGAGATGACAGACAGTCAGAGTAGTCATGTCGATGAAAATCTTAAGTCACAGGCTTCTCCAACAGTGCAACACAATAATACAGATAAAAAGAAAATATAGTGCAAGTAAATATTAAAAAGTAAATGCAAAAAGAAAAATAGTTTAAAAAAACTAAAATAGTGAAATAAGAGTCTATATGCAAGTTATTGGAATTATATATTAGATGAATAATTACTAAGTAGCAACAACGGCAGCAAACAGATACAATTGAAGTAGATGCTCCATGTCTCTGCTGCAGTGTGAATCTATAGAAAGGTAAAGATTTAAAACCTTTCTAACTTGTTATCAAAATGACAGAACCTGAGGCAGGGCCGTTTCTAGCTATTTGGAGGCCCTATGCAAGATGCTGTTTGGGGGCCCTATTTTGTCAAACTACATTGGGAGGATTACAAAGCCTTTAAGATGATCTGTGGAGATGCATTAATCTGTTACACTTTAAGAGGAAAACAGGCAAAATTAACGAAAACCTCTCTTAAATTCAAATTGAACATCTCAAGTTGACCCAAGCAATTGAAACTTACAGAAAATGATATTAAAAAAAGGTAAACAATGAGGCTCCTCTATGTCAATAAATGAAAGAGATTTTTCTCAAAAATGTTTACTTTACATTTTTCCTCCTCCTCAAAACTTCTGCTTCCTTGCTTTTTTAGAAGCAAAGTCATCAATAATGTCATCATATGACAGCTGCTTGCCAATCTCATGGTTGATGCTGATTATGGCAAGACCAGTGAGGCGATCCTGTCCCATGCATGACCTCAGGTAGGTTTTGATGAGCTTCAGCTTTGAGAAGCTCCTCTCTGCTGAGGCCACAGTCACAGGAAGAGTGCAGGCGATTCGCAGGGCAATCCACAGATTGGGATACAGTTCATTCAGGTTTTTTTTGTGGATGAAAGAGAGGAGCTCCAGTGCAGTCATTTCACATGTAGGCAGGCTTGGCAGATTGGTAATTTCCAGAGTCAGCTCCTTTCTATCAATGTCACCTCCATCTCCAGTGCTTAATGTGCTGCAGAGCTTGTCACACTGGTTGCACAATTCCACACCATCCAGTTTTTTGAAGTTGAGCAGCACTCCAAATCTGGCTCTCACTTCACCCAGAGTTTCAAATCTATCCTTTAAGGATTCAATAGTCGTGTCAACAACTACATTGAAGAATGTCGTTTCTAGCCTCTTCATGGCATCTGCAATAGGCTCGTCTGGGGCTTCATAGGCAAAGTGTTTTTTTGTGCTTCTCAGTCTCTTCTCTTTCAGCACAGCCTCCACATTAATTTCCTCACACATGTCTTTAGCAGTGGCCTGAGCTGCAGCAAAGCCAGTGTCTCTATAACTAGTCAGAGACATGTTTGCCTTTGTAAGGAGGTCAACTGCCACATCAAGCTGCATTATGGCAGACTGCAGGAGCTTGCTAACATGGTTCACATGGTGAAGAATGTCATACCATACCACTGTGCAAATGAGGAAGCGATATGACCCAACCTCTTCTGCCAAACTCTGTGCTTCAACCTCGGTCAGGGGATCTGTCACTTTGTCCCTGACCTCCAACAATGCCTCCCTTATGTTAGGGGCCTGGTACCGCACTGCCTCTATGCTGTTGACACGGCTCTCCCACCGTGTGTCACTCCAAGACTTAAGTGCAATAGTCAGATGTTCCTTTAGGATTGCCCATCTTTGTGGGGCTGCTGAGAAAAGGGTGTACAGTTTCTGTACATTACCAAAGTAGCTGATGGCATCTGTCGACGCTTTTGCTGCATCAGCCACCACCAAGTTCAATGAATGTGACATACATGAAACATAAAATGCACGTGGATTTTTCTGGAGCAGCCTTGCTTGAACCCCTCTGTTCCTCCCCTTCATGTTGGCACCATTATCGTATGATTGACCTCTGCAATCATCAAATGGAATATTAAGCTCCTTAACACTAGAACCGCCAACGGGTACATTTTACCCGCAGCTGTTTTTTTATTGTATGTAACTTTTTTTCAATAAAATATTAACGTCTCCCAGTCTGTGACTTTTCCTGAAAGTGTGTTATGTAACACCCTGTGTTGTTAAAAATGGTCAATATGAGAAAATCGCCAAAAAAATGGTTATTTATACCTATTTCCACCAGCGGGTAATGTTTACCTCATAGAAAATGCAGCGCTCCTCGCGCTATTGATTTAGCGCGTAAACATAAATATGACGTGTTGCTATAGCAACGCCTTTTGTCTACTGCTGTAGATCGAGAGAGATTGAGAGATAAATAGATATAGATAGATAGAGAGAGAGAGAGATAGAGAGATAGATAGATAGTCATAGATAGAGAGAGAGATAGATAGATAAATAGATAGATAGATAGAGAGAAAGAGAGCCGGTTATATTTCCAAAATGGACAAAAGAAAGAGACTCATGAACGTACAGGAGGCACT